CTGAGGTTTTGGTGCGAATGCCGCATATCGCAACGCTGCCTTCTCCTCGCTGTCACGGCTCGGACCTCATGACGTCCACCACCTCCGAGAAAACGCATAGACGCTGACTAGATGACCAGTACTTTTCGTCACAGCCCCTTCATTATTACTAGTTCATCTCCAATGTAGAGTCAACTGAGAACAGTCGAAATCACAGCAGCTTCGAAGGTTAGAGAGGTCGGAAGCGGAATGTAGCCGACAAAAAGCTTCATAAATGCAAGGAGAGGACTCCGCTTTAGGTCGAATGGTTTCTCCAAGGCCACAACGACATTCCGCGTATCTCATTTTAGTAATAGGAGCGTGACTTTTTGAAATATTGTCCGTGGCATTCTCTAGTTTTACTTTTTTAACTTCTGCTTTCTCTTCTCGCACACTTCCTCACTTTCTCTCATTTTCTCGTGAACCTAGCTTATAGAGTTTTACTGCTCTAAGCTCGATACCCTCTGACGTGACGTCCGTGATCGCTCGCCCGTAAGCCGTGCGCACATTAGCTCTTCTTCCCGTCACCTATACTACTTCCCGTAACGTAACACTCAATACATCTGCGAAGACTGACACAGGCGCTGGCTCCCTCTCTCTCACCTGCAGACACCTGTATGGGGGCGGCCGGCGCGCGGAACTCTTCCCGGCTAGCACTTCTCCTCCTTGCGACATGTCTTCCTGTCTTTTCCTTAACGACCGAGCCATAATACCACTCATCTTCAAATCCCCGTACCGTCATCCAGTCACAAGCGCGTGCACTCTTTCCACCAATAAGTGATAACCACCGCCTTTCAACCCCCGATACTGCAACCTTCTTCCATGAACACCATCCGCGAAGGACTAAAACGTCCCACACACACCCAGCTCCTCATACACCTACCGAGAAAAACATACGTCGGCAGACGATCCTTTGATCGTAGCAACTCCGTAACCAGACGCGCGAGCGGGTGGGGAGGCTACATGACGGTTAGCTGCATGCCAGATCTAATACACTCTTCCGCGACGATCCGCTATAGAACGCCAGCCACACTTAGTCAAGAAAGCTCCTAAACGTGCCATGTCGCAACAAATCGAGCCTGAACTGCACCGCCCATTCCACTCGTAACACTTTAAACCTCTTGGGCCGTGCTCTGCCTCCGGAGGGCATTGCACGTTCGATGTCTGTCTCGTATTATCACACGTCACTACGGCTCTTGAGACCACAGGCTCTTCGTCAGGTCGTACGAATCTCCTCCTCATGATAAGTGCTTCTACAAGACTTATATACGGTCTTTCACACACGAGGCCGTCCCAGATAGTTGGTTGAAACCCAGAAAACACACCACCACTCCGTCAAGCCGTATAGCACCGACTTGTGAAATCTGGTTACAGGATGCCACCACTTTAACAAAATAGAAGCCAAAGACATTCCTAAAAGCACAACAGGGGCATGACTCGCTGGACGTCGGAACGAAGAATATTCGCAAAACCACTTAGAAAGTCGAGAGAGGCAATCAGGATACTACCAAGTCGCCCATCTCGCCACCCCACTTAAACTAATGAACTAAAGCACAACAAAACACGCCATATAGCATATCCCGCAACCAGCACACACAAAATAGAAAACAAAACTGCCCAATGACTCAAAAACGACAAAATCCACTAGATGAATGAAAGGCGTGTTCAACCACTGAAGACATTGCAGGGAGTACACAATAGATTGGAATAAAACTTTAATACATTTTTTTGTAGAAATATATGCGCACCTACGACAAGGCTCGCCTGAGTGAAAGGAGAAAAAAAGACGGACACGCGTCACAACTGAATGGAAATCACGGCCACCTATTGTATCATAATCACAGACAAAAATTTGACATTTGATAGTCAGCCAGCGCCACTAACTCTCTTTACCAATCAATCGATTGCTATGAATTGGCCGTGGATTGCGCAGACTGTGACAGTTGGGGAGAGAGAGATAGAGCGATGGCTAACAGCAGTGCTGAGCATGAAATCAACGGATGAGTACGCAGCGATAAGATGATAAACTCCTAATACTACTTGTAAATGACAAACGAGTTTTCTGACAAGGAAATTAGTAACTAATCTAGTTTTCAACGCAGAAATCTAACGAAAATCTAGGCCAGGCGCAAGTCCACTTAGGATGGGGGGAGGGTTAAGCAATGCGATGGCTTGAAGGAGTTCCTGAGGGAAAAGGGCTTTGGCTTCAAGCTTGAAGGCAAGGAGTCTGGGATGAGGACAGCAATTCCAAGTACCGTAGTTCAACTAGGATAACGGTATTTCTACTTCTGCACAAGGCTGCGTTCATACTTTGCAACAAGAGCGATTACGTGCAATCAGCGCTACTTGATCGACAGCTGGAGTTCGTAGCCGTAGAGCGCGTAGCCTTATGCAAGCAAAGAAAGACCGTAATCCTAGTTGAACTACCGTACTTGAAAGTGGTCTCCTCATCCCAGACTCCTTCCCTTGAAACTTAAGCTGATCTACTACTCCTTGAGGACTCCTTCGCTCCTGTTCAGCAGTCACGTTGGACCAAGGATTAGCCGCAGAGCACGCTCAATCGCAGTCGCGCGACTAGGGAATCGCTAGAGTCGCTTCATGGAACCTACCCCCCCCCCGCCCCAACTGGATTTGCTCCCAAACAAAACATCGTTCTAATGCAGTAAACATTGAGTATAAGACGTGGACCAGATTGAGAAAACAGATGAAAACTACTTACAGATAGCATAGAAAGAAATAGTCATCCTACAACCAAATAGAAAGATCGACGAATTGAAAAATGTATGCTTCAGACGATACGACGGGGAGATAACCGAGTGGAGTTACTTCTAGTCATGAAAAAAAATTCTTCGAATAGACGCCACACGACCCCGGACAACATTCTTGAGACAATATGGAATGATTTTACAGTTCAACAAAAACTAAAAAAAAGGAAAGAGGGGGAAACAGTTGTCCGATCCCGCCACGGCTACCGGCATTTTGCTCATCCTCGACTCCATGACAATAGAAAAAACAACAAATACAATACAACTAGAGAGCTTGTTTGTGAAGAAACAATACACATTCCGATGAGAATATACACATACAGTGATAGTGAAGCAATACACAAACAGTGTACAATCAAAACGTACAAAATGTACCAGCGAGCACAAAACAAAACAGAATGAGATACAACTGGCAACATTGAACCTATGCCCTATTAATGGGCCCCTTGGGGAAACCCTATAATCTAGTATATCCAATTGAACACAGACGACAGTGACCAGAAACAAAGAGAAGAATAGCGCCTAAAAATTCATAGATTAAAAGATTACTAGATAGATTGTTGGTTAATCCCCCTTAAGGAATGCGACCACGCATTTCACTTCCAGTGAGAATCAACTTGGCTTACTGAGTGCGATATGGCCTATCCAAGCACTCTGGGTCGCACTTGGACACTCCTCTGAGGGGATTCAAAGTTAGGCTGCGTTTATACTTTGCGGCAGCGTAGCGTAGCGCTTCCAGCGTACGCCAGCGGCAGTGCCGAAGAGAGGATGCATATCGATCTAGCTTCACCAGCGTCACCAGCGGCACGCTGGCGTACGCTAGCGTACGCCAGCGTTTCTCCAGCGTTTCACCAGCGTTTTGCTAGCGTTTGCAGCGGCAGGGGAGTAGAGACTATGGGAGAGCTGGAGGGTACAAAACACATCGATTGCGCGTCTCTCACTCGCCCTTAGTCTCTACAATGCACATCGCTTCTGCGTCTCCGACGGCCACATAGTCTCTACAATGCACATCGCTTCTGCGTCTCCGACGGGCCACATAGTCTCTACAATGCACATCGCTTCTGCGTCTCCGACGGCCACATGGTCTCTACAATACACGTCGATTCCGCGTCTCTCACGGCCACATAGTCTCTACTCCCTGCCGCTGCAAGCGCTAGCAAAACGCTGGTGCCGCTGGAGAAACGCTCGAGAAACGCTGGTGAAGCTAGATCGATAGCTATGCTTCCCGTGCCCTCGCTACGCCAGCGTGCCGCTGGCGTACGCTAGCGTGCCGCTGGTGACGCTGGTGAAGCTAGATCGATATGCATCCTCTCTTCGGCACTGCCGCTGGCGTACGCTGGAAGCGCTACGCTACGCTGCCGCAAAGTATAAACGCAGCCTAAACGGTTGGAATATACAGAAAGCCCAGCACTTTCCATAATTGCCTCCTCAGGTAGGTACACCCCCACCCCCTACCTCCTCATCCCTCAGTCTCACTGATTTCTTCCGAATCTCCTAACCATTCCTCGTTTCCTTACAAAATTCTCAAGTTTCTTTCTCCGAAAACCATGTGTCGAGAGGGGAGGAAAAGCGTGGAGAGGATATCGGCAGAGGCTGAACGGGGAACGCCGAAGATGAATCGGTGGGCAAAGAAAACTTTCTTAAAATGTAAATACGACCTCACCCCCCATTTGCTGGGGTTCCAGGTTTGCGACATTCCCCTGATCCGCAAGACATATCGGTATGGCTACAACCTCTCATTCGTTACGCGTTCACTTCGAGCTACTATCCCTCCCTGCGTTGAAGGGGCAACGCATCCTGTGAAGGAACCCACTGTGTGACTGTGTCTCCGCCCATACGACCACCATGTACTGCGTGCCTCATTCAGTGCACGTCGCCAGCAGGTACCGATGGCCAAAAGAGGAGCTCTTGCGTGTCGGAGTGCACGGCGCCTCCAAATGATGTTCATTAGCTACATAGAGCGTCAGATTCCTAAGCGTCTACCTTAGTTTATAGAATGGGTGCTTAACAGACCACCGTCCTTGCGCGGCATCCACAGCACTTGATTCGACTCGTTAATAAATAGATCGATTAGCAAGGCCTAAAGGGCTAACCTTCTGGACAGCGGGACTGAGGGAAAGTCCTATTAACAGGGTCACAATATTTGGGCATGGAAGTCACTCCATCAGGAGCAAGAATTTTTTTCAGCATCTCAGTTATCAAATACTTACCTTGCTTTTACAACCGACTCTCTAACGGTTCATTATACATCCATTTATCGTCAGGACCCAAGGTGAAGTAACGTGTCTTCCAACGTTCGCCTTTTTCCTGACGCATTTTCGCCTCAGCTCGTTGCCGTTGTTCGATCATTCGCTTTGCTGTCGTAGCGATATTGATACGATTTCGCAGCAATGCAGCCGTCACGTGGCGCCATAACCTGCATTGAAATTTTGCCGATAGTACAAGGTTTGAATATAATATTTTGGTTGGAATACTTTAGAATCAGTATGAGAACAGGAAACGGGCAAAGTAGCAAAGAGTACATACCGTCGACTTTCTCGCTCTCCTTGTTGCATTACCGGAACGCATTCCTTTTTCATTTCCGGCTGCGCTTTCACGTCGATGAAGAGATACTCGTCACCCCAGGCAGGTTTTGCCATCATCACGTTATTCCATTCACCTCGTATCGTCATAAACGGCTTCTTTGATCCTTCCCTGAAAAGAGCACTGTGGTAATGTAACGGTAACGCAACAAAAAGTTGCTCATACACTCCACACAGGGTACATCATGACTGTGGAAGACTTCTTCCACGATAATCAGAAGGGCAGAGTAATGGACAGATTCGCAACCGTTCTACCCTCTCAAAGGCGCCACTCCTCTTTACTGAGCTTGACGAAGAGCGCTTTCATGAGGAAGCAAAGGTCGTAAGCTTCCTTGGGAGCATTTCAGCGACGAGAGGGGGGGGGACATTTTGCACTCCGAGCCATCTAGAGAGCTCTTTCATGAGCAAGACAAGAGTTGACGGGTTTTACCATGGTGGCTAGACGAGCTTGCTCCAGCTTCACAAGAGTTCACAGGTTTCAAGCGGAACTTGTGAACCGGAACTAGTAAAGCAGTGAAGGTACGAAATGCCCCCTCCCCGTCGTCGAACAGCGCCGCTTCCCTGTTTTCCAGCCGTAAGGGTAATTAGGCGGGAGAGGAGCGCTTCAGTGAGGAAATAACAATGGTCGTGAGCCTGCGTCTTCTCCAACCATCGTATTATCGGGCTGTAGAAGGGTTTGAATCCTTGAAGGTTATCAAAACGAGCATGATCACTTTCATTTTGTCAAACATATCCAATTCTACTTCCTCTAACGGTGAGGTAAGGGGTTCTATGCACAAAAAAAAATTCGGCCCTTGCGGGGGGGGGGGAGGGCACCGTAAGCTTTTCAAGGTGTGACTTTGTTTGTTTTTTTTTCATAAATAATCATGTTTCACCCTGTACGGTCTGTAAACCCCTCTCAAGTACCCTGTTAACCCCTGTCAAGCATGACAAAAAAAACACAATCACTGGAACGCCATTTTTCATTTTTACCGGATCTCGAGCAGCCAGATCTTGACAAGTTTGACAGGAGTTTACAGGGTGCTTCACAGGTAATAACAATGGTTACAGGGTATTGACAAGGTTGTCCGGTATTTACATGCATACACTTTACAAGGTTTGGTATGCTTACAAGCGCTTACAGGCTTGCCCCCTCCCCTTCAAACTTAATAGAGCCGGAACTTTTTTTTTAAAAAGCAAGTCCCACTGAAAATGCAATACAGAAAGAACGAAGACTTCATAATTGCTCACCTGTACAAGCTTCCCTGTATCCTATGAGGTTTTCCACCAAAGAACGGCTTTGTCAAAAAATCTATATCTGCATAAAAGCCCGTTTTTTCGCACACAATTTTTACCTGAAACCACATCTTTCCATCAAAGCTAAATAGCTGAAAGAAGGTTGGCACTTCCTACCCTTTACTTCCCAATTTCTTGGAATTTAGGATAGCTTTATAGAAATCTGTCCTGTCGGGTAGTTTCGGCGCCCCCTCCCCTTCAGGACGAACGTGATATTTGTTCAGGGGTCAACTAAACCCATGGACAACGAAAGTTCTTGCCAAATGCATCCCAAGAGGCTAATTTCGATAGAAATCTGGCCCAGCGCTCAATGAATGGAGTCGTAAATGGTGAATAGTGCCATAAGATGAAATGGGATGGAAAACAAAACCATCAAATCGATCGTAACTCACTTTACCACCGAGTTCAACCCATGGAGTGCTCATAATAGAACGGCCATAACCACTCGGAAACGTTACAGTATACCGCTCATCAAAATCGTGCAGTATTACAGTACCGCTACCGATATTGGCAACACCTTAAACAAATAAATCAAGATAGAAATCGATCAAGAAACAGATAACGGTACAGTTCGGTTTGGTAGGGGCAACAATGGGTACTCAGCGAAACTCGCACCTTGTAAAGACCTGCAAATTCTTTTAACCGGTGGCTCAGTTGTACTATTTCGCAGCTTTCTCCCAGAACTCAACAAAAGTAGAGCTGTTACTCTAGACTTTCCCGCGACCATGCGGTCCGCGTAATACCTCCGTGCATTTGGCATTGTTGTCCGCATTCGCAGAGAATATACCACTTTCGTCATTCGAAACGACGGGTAAGGAAGCCAGAGACGCGTAATTATTGCAACCATTGCAACCACGATTACTTTCACTCTGCAAGACAACGGCTTACAAGCGGAATTGCGTGTGTACATAGCGTTGCCTGGAGCGTCGTAGGGTGATTTCCTGTGCTCTGCCGAGAATCGGTCGCACGTCTAATCCTGCTCACTGCGCTTGTCAACGTCCGACAAACTCATCGAAGGCGTCGGCCCACTGCCAAGGGGGGTCTCTATTCAGTGTTCCAAAAATTTTTCAGCGCCTTTTTTTACCGGGGGTTTCTCATGAGCTCCTGGTTCATGACTGAGCACCCGTTACCCGTAACACTGATCGCGGGAGATGTCTCCAACGTGCAGAAGGAAACTAGCCAAGTGCAAAAATGCTTCTCTCAGCCTAACCTGCCTAGTTTACGTCTCAGCAGCCCTAATAAAAAAACATTGCGCTATAAACAGAATTTCTTGCGCGTATACGATAAGCAGGTCCACATAGCCAAGGACTGACCCATAACTCACCTTCCTACTCAGGAATCCCGCCGTATCCATGTGGACGCAGCTAACTCGCACTTTGTCCTGAGAGTGCTCTCTCACCCCCTTGCTGTCTGGTCTCTTCCCTCGCGTGCCACAATGATTTCTCCACTATCGTCGCTTTTTAGAGGCACGTAGGAGCGCGTTCGCACTGCAGCAAATGAATCGCGCCGACGTCTGACCGCAGGCCATCTGTACTTTTTGGTACGCTGCAACGGTCGAAGGAAGCTCTGTCGTGAAAGTATTCGGATTTGCAAAAGAAGCCATATTAGCGCCGGAGCGCGGTCTGCCTGAGCCTCATGATCCTTGAGCCGCGCGACTGAATCGCTAAAGTCGCGAAGTATGAACACAGTTAAGGGCTCAAAACTAGTGGAAGAGAGGATAGCACTGATAAAGGCTAATCTTCTAGTGCTTTCCTGTTCTGCTCTTCATTGGCAAGTCGGTACATACCACATTTTAGAGGTAGAGAGGGCGTGGCTGCGTGCTTCATTTGAACGTGGCAATGACTACCATAATGGTAAAATTTTAGTCATGCCTCAAACGAGTGCATGATAAGAGAGCAGTTGTCTCACGAAGAATGTAATGGAATGTGGAATAATGTGGAATAATCTCGCGAAGAGCGCGTCCTATGCCATGTTCAGGTGTAGTGCGCGGCCACGCCCTGCCCATTTTCGGGATATGGCGTGTGAGCACCCTTAGTTCACCTTTGAAGCCACGGATCGCGGGAGAACGTGCCTCCAAGGAAAAATGAATGCAAAACTAAAAGCAAAGAAAAATAAATATCATACCAATCGATAATCCTAAGAACGACGATTTCGTATAGATATGTGCATTGAATGATATCCGTTTTGCTGGATGTTCTGCATAGAATGCGGACACTGGAGGATGGTGGCTGACCTAAACCACAGGAAACTCTTACCCAACCAAAAAATAAACCAAAATCCTTCGATGATTCGCTGGAATGTTCCTGACCTGCTCAGCGATGAAAGTCAATTGATTCATATCCGAGCCAGGGAAAGGACCGCTATCCGTTTTCTCACCGGTTGGTGACGAGTCTGGGAGGGTATAGCTGGAATTTTCGTCGGGTAGATTGTAACTGGAAGAAATAAAATGGTCGATGGAAAATTCGCAGCTCAACATAGCCGCATAATTCCACCATTTCTCTATCCAGAGCAGAGAAATGACTCCAAGTAGCCAGATTCATTTTTGTAAAAAACATTTTACATTTGGTAAATGCTAAATTGATTTTGTGGCACGTTTAAAGGGGCTATGTGCTCCGGGATCAGTCATTAATCAGCGGGGCTAAGTCACGTCATTTCTGCTCACCTGTAACCTCTCACTGAGACTCTTTAGAGGGGCTAAGGAATCGTCCAGAATTCGCGCCT